GGACAAGATACGTTGTTGCTAGTATGATGAGCAAAGTATTCCAAAAATTCGATTCGACTGATTCGGCGAATTCGTGGAAAAATTTTGATTCGAGTCGAATATAGATTCGCTGCGAATTTACTTAATAGAAAGGGTGTTTCTAGGCTTCAGAGAGCCTTCTATATTAGTGCAGAACACTGTACCTTTAATTTAAATGCCCTTGGAGTCTGCTGGGGAGAAGAAATAATACTGACAGTCATTATGACATGCAGATGAGTGCCGTCGATCTTAGAATCACAGCACACTTCACTCATTTGGCAGTCACGGGGCCAAAACCAGATGTGTGGAGCCACAGTGTGGTCGGTGGAGGCAAGCAGCAATGGGAGGCCACATACAGCAGCCTATGACAAAAATGGAAACCACCAGCAGTGTGAGGTGACCTGGAAAGTGGCAACACAGGCAGAGTGTGGCGATGGAGACAGCAGCAATGGGAGGCAGCGTACAGGGACCCATGACACACTCTTGGACCTGGCATGCAGCATGCAGAGGAGGCGGTACAGGGGGCCCATGGACAGGAGTATTACGGGCCTGGCAGCAGCATGAGGAGTCGGTACGGGTGGCCCATGAAGACTCGGGCCCATACTGGCAGCAGCAATGGGAGGCCCTATACAGGGCGCGCATGACAAATTACGAACCTGGCAGCAGCAACTGTGGACAGGAGGACGTTCTAAGCTTCTGCACCGTGGCAGAGTGCGTGCTCGCAAAACTGTTGAGAAACGGATTCCAAGAAAGACTGCTGACGGAATCCGTGAAGAGGATAGCAGGAGAAGGACGACATCTGAACGAGGCAGAATGAGAGCCAACAAGCGACAACAGGGGCCCATGACAGATTACGGGCCTGGCGCAGCATGAGGAGTCGGTAACGGGGCGCCATGGCAGATTACGGGGCTTGGCTTAGCAGCAGCTATGGAGGCCCGTAATCTGGCCAATGCGCACCCTATGAGACAAAAAATGGAACACACCCAGCAGTGTGAGGAGACCTGAAAGTGGCACATGGCAGAGTGTGGCGATGGAGACAGCAGCAATGGGACCGGCCGTACAGGGACCATGAGAGGCTACTGGACCTGGCACTTGGCAGCAGACATGAGGAGGCGGTATAGGGGCTCCATGGCAGATTACAAGGGCCTGGCAGCAGCTATGGAGAGAGGCCCGTAATCTGCCAGCACCCTATGACAAAAAAAATGGAACACACCAGCAGTGTGAGGAGACCTGAAAGTGGCACATGTTTGGGGCATGATATCATGGCGGAATTTAGTCCAGTTGATGGTGTCAGGGAACTGGTGGTTTGAAATCCAGACTAATCCACGCCTGATTCATGTTTCACAAACATGAGTCTCTTCCACACTTTGGGTGGACAGTGTGTCCTCCGCGAGAGTTACAATACCGTCCTGCCGCACTAAACACGCGCTCCGATGCAACGCTACTTGGCCGGGCAATGACAGCCTTTCAAGGGCAAATTCAGGTAGCTAGTTGGGAGTCAAGGTCAAGTTTCGTTGCCCAGTAGTCAAGGGGATTTGTCATACCTCGGTTGGGATTCAGGGTGCTGTCCAAGTAGTCCTAAGCCTGTTGTTTGAGGTCCAGCTCCAGGTCCACCTTTGATGCTTGCTGCTTGCTGCGGCTGGTTAGTAGTTTCCTCACTGCGCTGGTGAAGGAAAGCTACTCTCTCGTGATTCATTGACTGCAGACTGAGGCAGCCGCTGCTGGTGGAGCTGCCACTGCCTCCTACCACCCCCACCCCTCCCCTGCTGCCAATGGCAGGAACGCGAGTGCACAGGGCCCACAGTGTTCTGAGGATGGACGGTTGGCGCCTGCAGAAAGGCAGAGAACCAGCTCTGACTACATAGGTGGTTTTTATAGTACGTTATTTTGGCCTCCCTTCTCAGCAGGTGTGAAAAAGGCCACCATTTTTGAACTGGTAGCGAGGGTCCAACAAGGTGGGACAGCCAAAAGTCATCCCCTCTGTTGCGTATTCGGTCTATTATTCGGAATGCTGTCATCTAAAGTGCTACGCAAGCAAGCGAGGCATGGCTATGGGCCATTTGTGCCAAGGAATGCGAGGGACTCCAACTGCCTCCCATCTCCACAGCATACTGCCACGGTGCGTCTGGTCCTCTGTCATCCTCCTCCTCCTCCTCTACCAGATGCTCCTGCTCCTCCACTCCTGTCCGCTGAGTGGAAAAACCACCCATTTCACTCAATAATTCCTGAGCACGCAATGTCCTCCTCTTACCTCCTCCTCTTCTTCCTGTCCTGCCCCCACAGGGGTCATGTGCGCTTGAGATCTGTGCGCCACGTCTACCGCACCCTGACCAGCCATTGTTAACAGCATTTGTTCCAGGACGTGCAACAGAGGAATGACAGCCATTCATCATACATAGTCCTGCCGACTCACGAATAGCGTGGTTAATCTCAAAAGGTCCATGAGCAACGCGCAGGCACCGAGGACCCCTGACGGCATGATCTGCCAATGGGTACGTATGACAACTAAGTTATGCACAGGGAGTAGGCCTTTCATCCGCCTTTTAAAGAACATCAGGAAATCTGTGATGGCCTTCTTCTGTTCGTAAAGGCGGTCTAACATATGTAGGGTTGAATTCCACCTTGTTGCAAGCAGTCACAGCATGAGGATTCGGTACGGGGGCCCAGGCAGATATTACGGGCCTGGCAGCAGCTATGGGAGGCCCGTAATCTGCCAGCACCCTATGACAAAAAATGTAAACACCACTAAGCCAAGAGTGTGAGGAGATCTGAAAGTGGCACATACAGAGTGTGGTGATGGAGACAGCAGCAATGGAGGCCGTACAGGGACCCATGAGAGACTCTGTGACCTGGCAGCAGCATGAGGAATGAGGTATCGTTTCCCATGGCAGATTACGGGCCTGTGCAGCAGCGTATGGGAGTCCCGTAATCTGTCTGCCAGGCTGATCACCCATAGAGGGAGCCAAAGGTGACAAAAAATGGAACACCTGAACCTCAGCAGTAGTGTGGAGGAGACCTGATGTGGGGAAAGTGGCACATGGCAGAGTGTGGCGATGGAGACAGGCAGCAAATAGGGAGGCCGTACAGGGACCCATCAACACCCTGAGAGACTCTGGACCTGGCACAGCATGAGGAGTCGGTACAGGGGCCCATGGCAGATTAGGGGCCTGGCAGCAGCTAATGGGAGGCCCGTAATCTGCCAGCACACCCTATGACAAAAAATGTGAACACACATCCTGTGGGCACATGCAGTGTGGCGATGGAGACAGCTGCGCAATGGCCGGTGGCACATGGCAAAAACTGGCACTGGCTGTGACCGTAACAGATTCACGTGCCTGGGACGCTGGCAGCAGCATGAGAGGCGGTACAGGGGCCCATGGCAGATTAGGGCCTGGCAGCAGCTATGGAAGGCCCGTAATCTGCCAGGCACCCTATGACAAAAAATGGAACACACCAGCAGTGTGAGGAGACCTGAAAGTGGCACTATGGCAGGTGTGGCGATGGAGACAGCAGCAATGGGAGGCCGTACAGGGACCCATGAGACACTCTGGGACTGGCACTGCAGCATGAGGAGGCGGTATATAGGGGCCCATGGCAGATTACGGGCCTGGCAGCAGCTATGGGAGGCCCGTAATCTGCCAGCACCCTATGTCAAACAAAATTGAACACACCAGCAGTGTGAGGAGACCTGAAAGTGGCACATGGCAGAGTGTGGCGATGGAGACACAGCAGCAATGGGAGGCCGTACAGGGGACCCATGAGAGACTTCTGGACTTGCAGCAGCATGAGGAGGCGGTATAGGGGCCCATGGCAGATTAGGGGCCTGGCAGTGGCAGCTATGGGAGGCCCGTAATCTGCCAGCACCCTATGACAAAAAATTGAACACACCAGCAGTGTGAGGAGACCTGAAGTGGCACATGGCATGAGGACACTGAGGCACCTGGCAGCCCGCATGAGGAGTCTCGGTACAGGGGCCCATGGCAGATTAGGGGCCTGGCAGCAGCTAGCACTGGGAGGCCCGTAATCTGCCAGCACCCTATGACAAAATGGGAACACACCAGCAGTGTGTGAGGAGACCTGAAAGTGGCACATGGCAGAGTGTGGCGATGGAGACAACCCACCGACTGTTTTGCTCGCTGCCAAGCTGCCACCCTCTTCTCCTGATGATGCGGAATGCAATAGCCTGATGACGACGAGGCTGCCAAGTGCGATCAGCCTCATGGAGCCTCATCATCATCAATTAGGGTCTCCGCCTCACTACTAGCCCCCTCGGCTGCGTGTGGGTCAGGAGACAGACCTGTCTCTAGACCGCTACCGAGCCACTCAGCAGTCCTCGCCACTACTTCTTCGCCTGGCTGCTGAAGAGGCGGATGTCCCCCCCCGTTCCTGACCGCCCTCTGTTAGCTCTTCCTCACTGTACTGGATGACACCACTTACTCGAATAGCACTGGCCTCTGGCTGCGAATAGTGCTGCCTCGACCCCTTCCTCTGCTGCCACGTCTGCGCTCGCAACCTAAAAACATTGCCTCCTCTGCCACTCCTCTGCATGTTGTCTGACATACTCTTTAATTAAAACACGATTCTGTGTCCCATGAGTATCTACAATTCTGTGTCTGTCCCTGAGTAACAATTCTGTGTCCCTGAGTAACGTTTCTGTGGCCCTAAGTAACAGTTCTGTGTTCCCTCAGTAACAATTCTGTGTCCCACAGTAACAATTCTGTGTCCCTCAGTAACAATTCTGTGTCCCTCAGTAACAATTCTGTGGTCTGTCCATGAGTAACAATTCTGTGTCCCCCCTCAGTAACAATTCTGTGTCCCTCAGTAACAATTCTGTGTCCCTCAGTAACAATTCTGTGTCCCTGAGTAACAATTCTGTGTCTGTCCCTGAGTAACAATTCTGTGTCTGTCCCTGATTAACAATTCTGTGTCCCTGAGTAACATTTCTGTGTCCCTAAGTAACAGTTCTGTGGCCCTCAGTAACAATTCTGTGTCCCTCAGTAACAATTCTGTGTCCCTCAGTAACAATTCTGTGTCCCTCAGTAACAATTCTGTGTCTGTCCCTGAGTAACAATTCTGTGTCTGTCCTGAGTAACAATTCTGTGTCCCTCAGTAACAATTCTGTGTCCCTCAGTAACAATTCTGTGTCCCTGAGTAACATTTTCTGTGTCTGTCCCTGAGTAACCAATTCTGTGTCTGTCCCTGAGTAACAATTCTGTGTCCCTAAGTAACGTTTCTGTGGCCCTAAGTAACGTTTCTGTGGCCCTAAGTAACGATTCTGTGGCCCTAAGTAACGTTTCTGTGGCCCTAAGTAACGTTTCTGTGGCCCTAAGTAACAATTCTGTGTCCCTCAGTAACAATTCTGTATCCCCTCAGTAACAATTCTGTGTCTGTCCCTGAGTAACAATTCTGTGGCCCTAAGTAATGTTTCTGTGGCCTAAATAATGGTTCTGTGGCCCTCAGTAACAATTCTGTGTCTGTCCCTGAGTAACAATTCTGTGTCTGTCCCTAAGTAACAATTCTGTGGCACTAAGTAAAGTTTTCTGTGGCCCTAAGTAAGTACGTTTCTGTGTCCCTAAGTAACGATTCTGTGGCCCTAAGTAACAATTCTGTGGCCCTAAGTAACATTTCTGTGTCTGGTTTCCCTAAGTAACGTTTCTGTGGTCCCTAAGTAACGTTTCTGTCTGTGCCCTAAGTAACGTTTCTGTGGCCCTAAGTAACGGTTCTGTGGCCCTCAGTAACAATTCTGTGGCCCTCAGTAACAATTCTGTGTCTGTCCCTAAGTAACAATTCTGCGGCCCTAAGTAAACGTTTCTGTGGCCCTAAGTAACGTTTCTGTGGCCCTAAGTAATGTTTCTGTGGCCCTAAGTAACGTTTCTGTGGCCCCTCAGTAACAAATCTGTGTCCCTCAGTAACAATTCTGTGTCTGTCCCTAAGTAACAATTCTGTGGCCCTAAGTAACATTTCTGTGGCCCTAAGTAACGGTTCTGTGGCCCTCAGTAAAAATTCTGTGTCTGTCCCTAAGTAACAATTCTGTGGCCCTAAGTAACGTTTCTGTGTCCCTAAGTAACGATTCTGTGGCCCTAAGTAAGATTTCTGTGGCCCTAAGTAACGTTTCTGTGGCCCTCAGTAAACAAATCCTGTGTCCCTCAGTAACAATTCTGTGTCTGTTCCTAAGTAACAATTCTGTGGCCCTAAGTAACGTTTCTGTGGCCCTAAGTAACGATTCTGTGGCCCTAAGTAACGTTTCTGTGGCCCTAAGTAACGTTTCTGTGGGCCCTCAGTAATAAATCTGTGTCCCTCAGTAACAATTCTGTGTCTGTCCCTAAGTAACAATTCTGTGGCCCTAAGTAACGTTTCTGTGGCCCTAAGTAACGTTCAGTGGCCCTCAGTAACAATTCTGTGTCCCTCAATAACAATTCTGTGTCTGTCCCTAAGTAACAATTCTGTGGCCCTAAGTAACGTTTCTGTGGCCCTAAGTAACGTTTCTGTGGCCCTAAGTAACGATTCTGTGGCCCCTCAGTAACAAATCTGTGTCTGTCCCTGAGTAACAATTCTGTGTCCCTAAGTAACTTTTCTGTGGCCCTAACTAACGATTCTGTGGCCCTAAGTAACGTTTCTGTGGCCCTAAGTAACGTTTCTGTAGCCCTCAGTAACAAATCTGTGTCCCTCAGTAACAATTCTGTGTCTGTCCCTAAGTAACAATTCTGTGGCTCTAAGTAACGTTTCTGTGGCCCTAAGTAACGGTTCTGTGGCCCTCAGTAACAATTCTGTGTCCCTCAATAACAATTCTGTGTCTGTCCCTAAGTAACAATTCTGTGGCCCTAAGTAACGTTTCTGTGGCCCTAAGTAATGTTTCTGTGGCCCTAAGTAACGATTCTGTGGCCCTCAGTAACAAATCTGTGTCCCTCAGTAACAATTCTGTGTCTATCCCTAAGTAACAATTCTGTGGCCCTAAGTAACGGTTCTGTGGCCCTCAGTAACAATTCTGTGTCCCTCAATAACAATTCTGTGTCTGTCCCTAAGTAACAATTCTGTGGCCCTAAGTAACGTTTGTGGGCCCTAAGTAACAATTCTGTGGCCCTAAGTAACGATTCTGTGGCCCTCAGTAACAAATCTGTGTCCCTCAGTAAACAATTCTGTGTCTGTCCCTAAGTAACATTTCTGTGGCCCTAAGTAACGTTTCTGTGGCCCTAGGTAACGATTCTGTGGCCCTCAGTAACAATTCTGTATCCCTCAGTAACAATTCTGTATCCCTCAGTAACAATTCTGTCTGTCCCTGAGTAACAATTCTGTGTCCCTAAGTAACGTTTCTGTGGCCCTAACTAACGATTCTGTGGCCCTAAGTAACGTTTCTGTGGCCCTAAGTAACGTTTCTGTGGCCCTAAGTAACGATTCTGTGGCCCTAACTAACGTTTCTGTGTCCCTAAGTCACGTTTTCTCTGTCCCTAACTCTCTCCCTGAATACAGCCAGGTCTGCCTCTGTTGAATGACTGGAGGCAAATGGAGAATTCTAAAATGGCCGCCATTTATAGCTCGACCATTACACTGTGCTGGCTGGGCTGGCTGCTGATTGGGCTAATGCGATCACATGTCATGAATGAATGCATTATGGGTCAGCGCGCCTTGTCTGCGCGCCTTCCCAGACATCCCCGCTCCGTCGCCAGCACATGTCGCCGCCATTTTAGGAAAAATTTCGATACGCGCATCCGAAGTCTGCTTATTTTCGGATTCGACGCGAATCGAAATTTTCCTAATATTCGAAACGAATTCCACTTCGCCTACTTCGATTCGCTCATCTCTAGTTGTTGCATTCCTGCTGGCGATAAAAACAAAGTAGGTCTGTGGTGATCACACCATGTTCACGTCGAATGTGCAGAAATTGCTTTGTTGGTAGTGAATAGGTAAAAGGCATGGTGGATGATTTTACATTGTGTTTCACGCTATGTTTCACAGATCACCAATGATGTGATTTTCTGGTAACCCCCACAAAAACATTTCTGGGGTGTCATCTTTTTGGATATGGGAATCCAAAGTTTAAAATGAGTGATATGGTATTTCATGGTTTGATGAGTAATGAGATGAGAATAAATGTCGGAGACGGAGTATTGATCCCGATGAAGGACTACCTTGAGAAATGAACTCTGAAAAGGGTGTTGTCGAGGAGTGAAGCAAGTCCAGAGATAATTCACCAGCTGATGGTATTGAAAAATTTAGAATCAAGGAAGGGAGAATTAAGTGACCAGATTTGAGAACTGCTTAATGTAGTTGTTGGTATCATCAAAGACTGTTATCACATCATTGAGACATTTATGTGACCATTGTAAGAAAGCCTCATGCTCACTAGAGGGAGGAAACATAGCGTTTCCGTGAATAGGCAGGTAGTGGGAGATGGTGGATGGCAAACCCAGGAGCCTACCTCCAAGCCAATACAGTATCTATGATCAATAAGTTGGATCTAAGATGTACAGGAAGAGATTTAACTTTTGAATGAAGGATGGCTCAGCGGTGCAAACAGAGACACCAGGGTTTCTTCTAATACATAGTCTGAGTAGCGTGATTATCCTGACAAACAATCTAGACCCTGGTGAGGCAAACAAGAGATTATAAAATCTAATATTGGGTGGACCACCCTTGTTCTTGGGGAGACATAGTTTTTTAAGTGCAATACAAGGTTTTTTTGCGTTGCCATAGGAAGGCTTGTAAGGCACTATGATTTTTTTGCACGTCTGAATGTTTTAAGAGAATAGGTAGTGTTTGGAGAGGGTAAAGTAATCTAGCAAAGGAAATCATTTTGAAAAGGTGACATCTCCAGAAGAACAAAAGGGGAAGATGAGCCCAGGCTTCCAACTCCTGTGCAATCTTGGTGTTGAGAGGAGGGTAGTTAAGGCTGTAAAGTGAAGATGGTTCTCGGCCTATACATATACCCAAATAGGTAATAGAATGTTTTTCAATACTAAATGGTGATGATGAAAACCAATGGGTTGAGGCAGATGGGTTTAATGGTAAAACTTCACTCTTATCAAAATTAATTTGCAATCCAGAACAACTGTAAAAAGTCGCAGACAAGTTTTGAAGTTTGAAAAAGTCGGAGCGTGAATCAGATGAAAACAGCAGCCCATTGTCACCAACACAGTGCTGATCTGACAGTTTGTTCACCTATTGCGACATCGCTTATCCCAACATCTGAGTTATGCAGTCTGGATAGAGGTTCTAGGGCAATGTTTAAAAGAAGCAGTGAGAAAGGGCATCCTTGCCTCATGCCTTTGGTTAAGGAGATGTCTGGAGACATAAAGTCAGGAGTAATGAGCTTGGCCGTGGGGAATGAGTGAATTTTTTGTACAAAGCCAAATATGGGGCCCAGTATGTGACAAACTCCCTTATAACCATAAAGAGCCAAGAGAAGCTGATATTATCAAAAGCCTTTTTGGCATCTAAGGAAATAATGGCGGTCTTGTTTAGGATGAACTTTGGCATATTCCAGCACCATCAATACCTTGCAAATTTTAAGGGTCGCTGAATAGCCTGGGATGAATCTGGATTGGGCGTAATATGGTTGGGAGTAAAGCAGCCATTCATGTCACAATAACTTTAGAAAGTATTTTAGCATTGACATTGATCAAGGAAATGGGCCTATAGGACCCAGGCGATAGTGGATGCTTTCCCTTTTTGCAATAAGTTTTATATATGCCTGTGCACCAGTGGGTAAGTACAGACCGTCAGTCCACATTTCCTTATAGAAGTGATATAAGGAGTCAGGAATTAAATCTATTGTGAGTTTATAGAATTCTGCTCTATATCCATTGGTACTTGGGGCCTTAGTGGCAGGTAATAGTTTAATGTGGAGTGAATATCATTGGGGCATTGAAGGCTTCTAGTTGGGCTTGGGAGAGTTTAGGCAGGTGTGCTCTAGTGAGTAACTCCTCTGCAGCCTTGGTATCAATCAGGTCTTCTGAGTATAGGGGTGTAGAGAAAGAGATAAGAAAAGCATTTATTTTGGAAGGAGTAGTAAAGAGTAACCCTGTATGGGACCAGAGGGTGGAGTTGTCAGTAGCACAGCTGGAGCCTGCACAAAGCTAAGCCAACAATTTGCCCGCTTTAGTGTCATATTTATGATATTTAAATGATAAACAGGATAACTTGGCTACCTTCTGTTATTTGGTCCAGTAGTCAAAGGCACGTTTGGATAATTGCCAGGCCGGTTTGTTGGCTGGCGTGCGATTAAGAGAGAGATCAATATGGACTTGATGGAGGGATTCACTAGCCTGTTGATATTGAAGTTGGGATTTTTAAAAAATGTTGTGGTATATAAAATTATTCACCCTCGAAGGAATACTTTTCCTGTTTCCAAGAAAAAATTGGGATTAGTTATACATGCTCCATTTGTGGCTGCAAACTCTGCCCAAGCGTTATAAAGGGTATGTTTGAAATCATCATTATTCGCTAAGTTAGAGGGGAAGTGCCAGGTTCCAGTGGGACTCAGTGATTTTAGCCCTGATAGTTGAAGTATAGGAAAATGGTCAGAAATTACCACATCACATATGATAGCCTTCCATGTCAGGGGGAGTAAAGCTGGTGAGCAAAAGAAGTAGTCAATACGTGAAAAAGAGTTATGTGGGTGGGAATAGAATGTGTATTCAGAATCGGATGGGTGTGTTAGATGTCATGTGTCAATGATATTGAGCGAGGAGAGTGGGAGATGAGACCTGTGGGGTACACAGTTTGAGTTGTGATGATTGGTCACTTGTGCAGTCATTGATTGGTGCATGACAGAGTTAAAGTCCCTGCCAAGCAGGTGGCAAGATTCAAAGATTTGTATGGCCCAAGAGGCCAAGTCTTGGAAAAAAATCTGCCCTGGGGAGTTGGGCAAAGTAAATGTTTGAGATAGCGATGTCCCGAAAAGCGATAGTCAGGTGCAGAGGGAGTTTGTGACCCAGAGAATCAGTTTCAATAGAGCAAACGGAATGGCATATGTTTTTACGTAGTAAAATAGCTGTGCCTGCCTTATGACTTGTAGTGGGAGAACCTTATCTACCCATAGTGTAGAAAGGTGACTAAGATCATCTGTAGAGATGAGCGAATTATTCAAAAATTCGATTTGGCTGATTCGCCGAATTTGCGGAAGAAATTCGATTCGATGCAAATTTATTCGCTGCGAATTTAACTTATTAAAAGGGTTTCTAGGCTTCAGAGAGCCTTTATATTAGTGCAGAACACTGTACCTTTAATTTAAATGCCCTTGGAGTCTGCTGGGAAGAGAAATAATACTGTCAGTCAGTATGACATGCAGATGAGTGCCGTCAATCTTAGAATCACCGCACACTTCACTCATTTGGGCAGTCACGGGGGAAGAAGAAGAAGAAGAAGAAGAAGAAGAAGAAGAAGAAGAGAAGAAGAAGAAGAAGAAAGAAGAAGAAGAAGAAGAAGAAGAAGAGAAGAAGAAGAAGAAGAAGAAGAATTCCAGTACAGCAAAAAGTGTATCTGCAGAGAGCTCCGCTATTTCTGACAGTTCTCTGACAGTTCCTTCACATTTACAGCGGTTGAAACATTGTATCTATTTGTTTCCGAATAAAAACATCTGTATCCTAAATGGAAACAAATAGATACAATGTTTCAACCGCTGTAAATGTGAAGGAACTGTCAGAGAACTGTCAGAAATAGCGGAGCTCTCTGCAGGGACACTTTTGCCGGCTGTAGAAGGGATGAAAATCGGCCGATCGGGAAAAATTCGATTCGTGCATCCGAAGTTTGCTAATTTTCGGATTCGGTGCGAATCGAATTTTTCCTAATATTCGAAACGAATTCCACTTCGCCAAGTTCGATTCGCTCATCTCTAATCATCTGCAGCCAGGTATGTCTCTTGCAGAAGAGAAACATCTGCCCGAAAATGCTTCAGGTGTCTTAGGACCTGCATACTCTTGTTACGAGTACGTAGCCCCTTAACTTTCCAGGATATTACCTTTAGGTGATCACATCATCTGAAGGAGCCATGTCTGCTGCAGTGAAGAAAAATAAAGCAGCCCAATGGAGAGCAAAACCACTTCAGACATTACACCAATGAGTCAACGGTCATGATTAAGGGAGGATTGATCTACAAAAACATACAAAAAACAATTAACAAACCAAACCATCAAGAGAGATATAACAGGGGAGATAAATCTCCAATCAATCATCTGCGACTTCTCTTCTTTTTCAACCTTCATAGGAACTCCTCCACCATTGCAAGCATGTACATTTCCAGAGGGGGCAGGGTTTAGGGACAGAGGGTATGACAGGTGTGAGGAGGGAGAGGACAAGGAAGGGAAAAGTAGGGGAAAATGGAGGGGGAGGGAATAGAGGGATAAGATAGAGGGAAACAGGGAGGGAGGGGGTGAATAAGATGAAGAGACAGGGCTGGT